GAGGCCCTGTACTCTACCATTTTTGAGGAAGAAAATAATCATTGCAATTTATTGTTTTTTTTTTTTTTCCTTTAAGTTAGGGCTCGTGTCTTATTTAATGAAAAGCTCTCTCTTACTCAATATCTTTAATATATTCTCTATATTGGTCTTAAAATGTAGTAATTTGCCTTTTTTCAGTCTTTAAAAAACCTACAACAATTCTAGGCACCAGTTTGTCCCCACAAAAATGCCCAATTCTCCCAGAAATATTTGTTGAAAAGCAATCTTTTCTCCACTGCCATAAACCAAGACTTCATGTAATAACATGTTTCTAGTACCTTAATAACTACCATTATATTTTGATACCTGGCAGGCAGCATAATTCCTGTCATCATTCTTAGAGTACTTTGACTATTATTGGCCCTTTACACTCAAATAAAAAGTAGAAATTTTTATGAAAATTTCACTGAAATTCCAAACCATCAGGAAATGATTATTTACATTAAGTCTTCCAATCTTTGAGCATGGAATGCCACTTGATTCACTGAAGTGTTCCTTAATGTCTCTGAAGTACAACTTCATAATTTTCCCAGCGTTTTGAGCAGCTTTTATGAGATTGTTTTCAAATATTTTTTGTTGATATTTAGTGATCCTTTCTTAATTTTTTCATGTTCTGTTTATTGCTGCTACATATATAGAATTGCAACTGACTTTTATATAGAAATGTTTGCATCTAATAATCTGTTAAATTATTTTATTCATTTTAATAATTTGTAGATTCCCTTCTATTTTCTATAGCTGTATTATCTGAAACTAACATTTTGACTTAAAAAGCAGTAATGACAGACATCCTTGCCATTTCCCAGTCTCAAAGAGAAAGCTTTCAAGGATGCATTATTTACTGTAGATGTCTGGTAGAAACCATTTAATTCGATTTGAAGTGCCCTTTATACCTAGTTTATAAAGAGCATTTTTATTATGAGTACTGAATATTGAGCAAATAATTTTTCTATATCTGAGATGGATGTAGAAAATCCATCAATCTCCTTTAATTTCATAATATGGTGAGTATATTGATTCATTTTCTGATGTAAAAATAAGTTTGGCATAAACTGAACAGGTCATGATTAATCATCCTTTGCTGGATATGTCTTAGTTTAGGATTTTACCTCACTAATCCTAAGTAAAACTGGCCTCTAATTTTCCTTTCTCACATCATTTGATATCAAGTACTTGCTGGTCTCATAAAATGAGTTAGGGTATATCCCACTTTTTCCACTTGGCTTTTTCTAATGGCTTAAGTTTGGAATTATTTCCTGAATATTTGATAGTAGTCATCAAGGACTTTGGTTAGACCTGGAATTTTCATCCTGAAATATTGAGTCATCTAATTGAATGGCTATAGAACCATTCTTTTGTCTTACTTTGGAGGCTATGTTTTTCTAAAGTTGTGTCCCTTTCTTTTACATGTTACATACTGCCTTTAAGCTGTTCATATCTACTTAATGTCACAACAGAAAGTTATGTCCTCTTTTTCACTTCTGATATTGTACGTGCCTACTCTTGTTTTCTTAACTTTGTCAAAGGATTCACTGTTAAGTCTTTTTCAAAGCATAAGATGTTTTTAAATTATTATTTCTGTTCTACTATTTCATTGTATTTCCCTCAAACTTATTCCATTATTTTTCTAGGTTAAGGTACATATTTCTCATTAACATTCAGCCTTTTTTTTTCTGTTAGACAAAGACTATCAGTTTCCTCCAACTATCATTTTAACTGCAACCCATAATTTCTGTTAAACTATTGTCCAGATCCATTTATATCCTAGGTTCAATTAGGATTTCTTGATTGATTCATAGGTTATTTGGAACTGTGTTAAAGTCCTAAAATACGGAGCTGCTTACTCATTTACTTCCCAGTTAAATACCAATTAAAAATGATCCGCTTAGTGAACTGAACCCTTCACTATATGAAATTACCTTATCTCTAGCAATGTTTCAGTATTAATATACTGATAGAAGCTTTCTTTCAGCTCTTACAACTTTTGCTGTCATTTTACTTTCAATTTTCTATATTTCATGCATTGAGTGTGGTCTCTTAAAATAATTGTCAAACGGGTTGAAAGTGAAACCAATTTGTCCTTAAGTGGATAGTCCATTTACATTTGATGCAATTAATGATATATTTGGGTTATATATAGTATCTCAATTTTTTCTACTTATACTTCCCCTTCTGTTTCTTTTTCCTTATTTCATAAGGACTCCCTCTTCCCCCCATATTTCATTTTTCCTCTCTCCTAGGTTGGAAGTTCACTATGATAGTTCAGTTTTGTAATGTGGTGTTTCCTATAGATATTTTCAAACTTGATTTTTTTTAAACATATGAAAATAGTTTTATATTAGACATATACTCACTCCAAAGCTATTTTCTGGTGGTCTTTGTTGGCTTTCATTCATGGTGCTAATATTCCTTGTGAAGTTTGCTTAATCAGTTTTCCTGGGGAAAACTGAGACCCTAGTCACAGTTTTATTGACATCTACAAGGCACTCAATCTAGAGCCACTAAACCCATAACTTATGTTTTAACACCCAAATGATGTACATTCGGAGTAATACCTACATTTACACATATATAAGAAAGTTTGTTTATGGCTACTCCTTTTGCCCCCCCCCATTTTATTAAGATATAATTAACATACAACAATGTATAACTTTAAGTTGTACAACATGACTTATGTGTAACAAAATGACTTACTGTAGTCATTATGCAGTGTATACATAAATCTTATTAAAAATCACCTGGTGTAAATTAAAAATACCCTTTCCTTGTGAAAAGAACTTTTAAGATGTCTTTCCAAATTTCGAATATATTGAAAAACATTGTGATCTTGTATATGATGACATCACAACTTGTCTTTGGGCCACCTTCATCCATTTCCCTCACTTCCTTGCCTTGGCAACCACTAATTGATCTCTTTATCTATGAGGGTTTGGTTTTTTGTTTAAGTTTCTACACATTTTCTCTTGCTCTGATTTATTCCATTGAATGTAATGCCCTCAAACCCTATGCAAGTTGTCCAAGTGAGGATTTATGTTTTTATGGCTGATAGGGTTCTATAGTATAATTTATACCCCATGGCTTCAGGATTCTATAGTGTATGTATATACCCCATCACCTTTTTCCATCCATTCGACTCGTAGGTTGACTATTGTAAATAAAGCTGCTATGAATGTAAGTGAGCAGGTACCTCTCTGAGATAGTGTTTCATTTCCCTCATATGTATACTAGAGTTAGATCATATGGCAGTTTTATTTTGAGCAACCTCCATACTATTTTTCATAACAGCTGTATCAATTTACAATCCTCAATAATAAGGGTATAGGAATTGTATGGGGAATATAACCAAAATGAAAATGTATACATTGTGCAAAAATGAAAAATGATGGAAGAATTATACAAAATAAAATATAAAAAAAATAAAGTATGATCATGAAACAAAACAAAAAATAGGGTCTAGAAGGAGTTTGCTTTTCTCCACAGCAGCATTTCTTGTTGATGAAAGCCATTCTAACAAGTGTGAAGTGATATTGTGGTTCAGATTTGCATTTTCATAATGATTAGTGATGTTAAATGCCTCTTTATGTACCTGTTGACCATTCATAGATCTCTGGCAAATGTCTATTTAGGTCATCTGCCTATTTTTCAACTGGGTTATCTATAGTTTTACAATTGAGTTTGAGTTTCTTGTATATTTAGATATTAACCCCTTGTCAGATATGATTTGCAAATATTTTACCCATTTTATATATTGCTTTTTCATTTTGTTGTAGGTTTCCTTTACTATGGAGCATCTTTTTAGTTTGATACAGTCTCTCTTCCTTATTATTTACTGCCAAGCTTTAGCTGCCATATCCAAAAAAATCTCATTGCCAAGCCCTATAGGTAGCTTTCCCCCTAAATTTCCTTCTAGGAGTTTTATGGTTTGGGGCCTTACATTCAAGTCTTTACTCCATTTTGAGTTTACTTTTGTGTATGGCATTAAATAGGGTTTGACAGTTTACTCCATTGCAGGTGAATATTGTTTTTCTTTTTTTTCCCATGAGTATCCTTGTCAAATATTGACTGATATGTATGGGTTTATTTCTGGGCTTTCTATTCTGTTCCATTGATGTAGGTGCCTATTTGTATGTCAACACCATATGTTTGATTACTGTAGCCTTGTAATATAGGAAATTAAAATAAGGAAAAATGACACTTCTAATAGTTGGATTCTTGATAGGGATTGCACGGAATAATCTGCACTAATTGTGTAACTTAGTTAATATGAAAAGTCATGACATTTTTTGCTTTCTATGCAAAAATGCATCATGACTTTTCTAACAACCCAGTAGCTTTTTGCATAATTGATTTTGTAATGTAAGTGAATTCTATTAATCATGGAGTATACAATTAAGTCATATTACACATCCCTTTAAAAGTAGATTTGAAGAACTCTATGTAATGGTGGTATATATATGGGTGAACTAATGTATTTTGTGTAAAAATTTGTGGACAAGATTTCATGAAATATGCTGTTACATATTTAACATATAAAATGTAATTTTTGTACATTCAAAAATTGTTAAGTAGGGAAAAAAAAAAACTAACAGGCAACTATAAATCAGAAACATTCTGCAGGGGAGGGACAGGGATCAAAATGGGAGGGAAGAACACAAGGGACTGTGGTGATGGTGCATGGGTGAATTGGTGGTGGAAATTTTACGGGCACTACACCTTAGAAAAGAAAGCAAATGGTGTACAAAAATTAACAATGATGTAAATTATATACTTTTTTTTTTAAAGTAACAAAAGTATAGAATGCTGTAACTAGCAATTTCTGATGTGGAGCAGTTTTCAAAGTGAAGGTTAGAGTGTAGCCTTGACTGAAAGTGATAAATGAACCATCAAAGAACTATTAGCACTAATTCATGAGGATTGACTTATCTAGTAGCCTAATGTCACCAAAAATTTAACAGTAAAGTTTTTTTTTTTTTTTGAGGAAAAATATTTATTTTTATAAGTGAGTAGTGTTCCATTGTGTATATGTAGCATATCTTTATCCAATCATCTGTTGATGGGCACCAGGTTGTTTCTAGTTCTCTACTAACAGTAAAGTTCTTAAGGGCCTCCCTGGTGGCATAGGGTTTAATTCTCAATGCTAGCACCTCTGCAGCCTGAGTTTGATCCCCTGCCAGGGAGCTAACCCACGTTATCATGTGGCAAACTTCTCCTGTCTGGCCTGCTGCTCCCCTCGTACTTTATGTCAGTAAATCAGCCTGTTCTCCCCACTCTGTCTCTGGTGAATCCTCTCACCCCCACCCTACAGCCCTGCGGCACCTTTGGTCTACAACCCAGTTCTTCTATTCATAAATAAGAACTTTTTTTTTTTTAAGATTTATTTAAGTGAGGGTAGCTTAGTGGTGGACTAAAAGGTACAATATTCAGGAGTTATACGTTTTACTGGCTTGTAAAATAACTCCACAAAGAAGCAGTGTTAGAGCATTTATAAAATTATTTCAATAATTTGCTAACAATGCAACATGATTCCTGAATGCACTGTTAGATTCTAAACTTCATGTTCAGCAAGAGCTTTTTTCTTATTCACTGCTGTATTCCTACAGCCCGATATAAAGACTAGATTAATTATTAATGGACCAATTGCTTATCTTTCAGTGAGAAAAAGACTAAATGATCAATCTAAAGATTAACTCCAGGGGGAAGGGAAGGACTGAGGGGCCTGGTAGCCATACACATAGAGAAAGCATGAAATAGCAAACTAGAATAAACAGGAATCAGTTTTTAAAGAGTAGACACAAATGCAGCTGCATCTGAAAAATGATGACTTAAGAATCTCAGAGTAAATACATACCTAAAGATACAAATCATAAACATTTTATGAAAGCTTTCCCAATTCCATTAGGCAATAAATGAGACTCAAGGTAACTATTTAAAGGGTCATTTGTGCGAAACACTGCAGAAATTTATTACTGCTTATATATATCATAAATAGGACAGTATACTGAATCTTAGTTTCATCATTTTAAATACACAATGACTGGAGAAGAAGGGACATTCAAAAATGAGGGAAAACCTTCAGGATGACAAAGTATTTAATAACCTAAATAATAAACCTTGCTGGAATTCAACATCTATTTTATTCATGATAGTTACTTAATGAAAGTAAAGCCAGGAGCCTAATAATAGTATTAAAGACAAACTTTGCCCATTTTGTAGGCATTCTTGGTTTAATCCAAAAGTTAAATCCCATGCAGCAGGTAGTACTGCAGTAAAGTTTTGTCTACTAGTGATCCTGATCCATATACTGCAGAGAACATTCCCAAATAAAAGAAAAAATTAATATCAGGCATTCCAAAGCCTAAGAAAACAAAGAAATAAACCTTAGAAACAGATAAAGGGGTTCTGAGCTTTAAATGCTTTCTTTAGGTTTACTGTAATACACTAAACTTCTTTTTTCGTAGACTCAGTAATACTAAATTGCCTACTAGGTTTAGTGGCTTCTAGCATCAGCTCCTGCAACTGTCCAATTTGTTCATCACGAAAGTCATTAAGTTTTTCTTCTGGAAGGGTGGTTCCAAAACAGGCTTTTTCAGTTGAATTTTGTCTGTTTTCATTAGCTTGTTGCCACAGCATTGCTGCATATACCTAGGAAAAAAAGATGACAGACATAAAATTAAGATCCATGTTCATTTACTGTCGTAAGGATGGAAGAATTCTAATTCCAAATCACCTGTTTTTCTCTGTCCTTGAGATACACAATGTTGAATTAATTGACTTCCTACTTTGACATTTGGAATGGTGAGAAAGCAATTATTGGGATATAGAATATTGTCAAGTGACAACTCCCAGACTCGTAGCTATTTCCAAGTAGACAGAACCGCACAGCACAGATGGGAGATGTGATCTCTTGAAGCCTATGTCTATATACAAAAGAATAATCCTGAGCCTCCCTGGTGGTGCAAGGGGTTAAGACGCAACCTATGAAGCTATCTGCAGCCACTGCAGCATGAGTTGGATCCTCAGCCAGGGAGCTACCCACATGGTACACAGACCTCTCCTGACTCGCCTGCTGCTCCCCTCAGCAGTGTATTTCAGTCAATCTGCCTGTTCTGTTCCCTGCTCTGTCTCTGGTGAATGCTCTCACTCCTCATCCTTCTGGTCTACATCTTGTGTGTAAACAAATCTAAAAAAAAGTGCTTAATTGAGGGGGTTGGGAAAGTGGTCTATGGATTGACTTCAGAAGCATGCACAAGCCACCCCCAAAAAGGTTATGCAAAACTGTACACAAGCATACACATATTTCTGGTGCCATAGCTTTCATCAAAATTTCAAAAGTGGGGGGGCATCCATGTTTGAAAGTGGGTTCTAAAAACCTAATTTTTTAAATCACACCATAGAAAAAATATCTTGGAGCCTCGCTGGTGGCACAGGGGTTAAGATGCAACCTATGAAGCTATCCACACCCACTGCAGCACGAGTCAATCCCCAGCCAGGGAGCTACCCACATGGCACAGCAGACCTCTCCTGACTCACCTGCTGTTCCCCTCAGCAGTGTATGTCAGTCAATCTGCCTGTTCTGTTCCCCACTCTGTCTCTGGTGAATCCTCTCACCATCCACACCTCTGGCCTGTACCCCAGTTCTTGCATGCATAAATAAATCTTAAAAAAGGAAAAAGAAATCTTTCCAAACCTTTAAGACTTCAATATTTCTTTGTCCAGAAAGACATTCTCTCAGTCAGCAACTCTAGCCTAATATTCCAACTACCATTCTCTATACAAGTGATGTTTTTTTGAAATACTCAGGCAGTATCACTTTATTTTGGTTCATGAACTTAAAAGATTATATGCACCCTCTTTGTAAATGAATGAATTAGTTAACTCAGGATAATGTTGTTACTATAAATAGTTTGAGATATCTAAAGTGCTTACAATTGCTCAAATGCCAGCATGAGCCAGAAAATAAGAAGTTGATTCTTTGGAGAACAGAGAGAACTTCTGAATTAAAATTTACATTTTTATGGCTTTTTACTTAAGGGAAAACACCAGAACATGGGACTAGTCTGCAATGTCACTAAGGAATCCAAAGACAGTATCGGCAACTCCAAATAGCAGGTAGAAGTAGAGAAGGGGAGAGCTCAGTAAAAGTTACAAAAGGGGAGCCCCAAATTCTGAAATTAAACTGCCAAAAAATTTAGCTAACCCATTAATTAGGCATGTGCAGAGAAGAGTCAAGCAGCCCAGGTAAGGCAAAAGCAACTGAATTTCAGCTGCTTCTTGCCAAATATAGTTTAGAATCTGTTTCTGCCATGGTAACTGTTTGATAAAACAAAATCCAAACAGTGGAATAATAGCTCCACAATGTAACTCAATGTCCAAGAAAAAAATTCCAAAATTACTATAAAGATGAATAAAATATGTGACCTCTAATCAAGAGAAACAACAGTGTCTGAAATGACTCATGCATTAAAAAAAATTTTAAAGCAACAATTGTGAATAAGCTAAAGAAAATATGGTTGTGGAAACCAATACTATCCAATGGATAAAGGAGTTTTTCCATAAAGGATGCTGGGAAAAGTGGACAAGTGAAAATCGGTATAGCCACTATGCAAAACAGTATGGAGGTTTCTCAAAATACTAAAAATACAACTAACATGTAATCCGGCAGTTCCACTTTTAGGACTATATCCACAGAGGAGATACATACCCATGTTCCTTACATTATTTATAATAGTCAAGATTGGAAACAACCGAAGCGTCTACAGAACTTTTTTAAAAAAGTGTGGCATATACAAATGGAATGTTATTCAATCATAAATTAGAGAACATTATAGTAAATGAAATTAAATCCTCAGACACAAAGATAAATATATGATCTCTCAAAAGCAAACAAAACCTCACAAAGGGATAAAAACTCCAGTTATAAATAAGTATTAAGGATATCAAGTACAACACTGCTGTATGGTAGTGTTCTCATCAGAAGGGAAAAAAATCTTTTATTTTGGTATCTGAGGTAATAGCAGTAATCATTTCACAGTCTGAGTCAAGTCATTCTGTACAGCTTAAATTATTCAATGCTATAATGTCAATTACATCTCAATAAAGTGGGGGAGACAGTTGGTCATGATAAATGGATAAGAAATTTCAACAGAATGAAAAACTATGAATCAAAAGCTCCACAATTCAAAAATGCAACTTTAAGAAACCTCATTGAATGGGTTTAATGTCAGATTGGAATTAATTTCTCTAGGCATATTACTTGCCTAATCTGAAAAAGCAGAAACTAAAAATCAACTTAAGGGCCTCCCTGGTGGTGCAGGCCGTTGAGCGCAGCACTGTGAAGCTGTTCACAGCCTCTACAGTGCGGGTTCGATCCCAGCCAGCGAAGGAAATACCCATATGGCGTGTCAGACCGCTCTTTTCTTGTCCGCTGCTCCCCTCAGCAGTGTATTTCAGTCAGTCTGTCTGTTCTGTTCCCTGCTCTGTCTCTGGTGAATCTTCTCATCCTCCTGCACATCTGGCCTGTACCCCGGTTCTTAACCACTTATGCTTTAGGTGTTATATCCATGCATGAATAATCTTTAAAAATAAAATTTTTTAAAAAATCAAGTTGGGGCCTCCCTGGTGGTGCAGGCGGTTGAGCGCAGCTCTGCGAAGCTGTCCACAGCATCTGCAGTGTCGTTTGATCCCCACCGGCCTCGGAGCAACCCACTGGCGAGCAGACCACTCCTGCCTCGCCTGCTGCTCCACTCAGCAGTGTATTTCAGTCAGTCTGCCTGTTCTGTTCCCCACCCTGTCTCTGGTGAATCCTCTCACCCTCCTATGCATTTGGTCTGTACCCTGGCTCTTGTATAAATAAATCTTTTAAAAAAAAAAAATCAACTTAAGCTCTGATTTACAGAACAATGTTATAATATCCACATATATTTAAATGTAATTACAGAAGAAAAGAATGAGGCAGAAAAAATACTTGAATATCTGATAAATATGAAATTTCAAGAGTCTTAGAAAGCACCAAGAAAGATACTAAGCAAATCCAAGCATAGGCATAAAATAGTCCAATTGTTGGAAAGAAAAAGCCAAAATCTTAAGATTTGAGATGGAAACAACAAATACCAATGTCAGGATATGGACTACCTTTGAAAGCAGATTAAAGTTATAGCTAAATTTTTATTTTTTAAAAGACTAGTCTAGAGCCAATACTGTAAAATGACAAATTATAAATCTGGGAGGTAAATATGTGTCTTAAATTTATTTCCCTGGTTTATTGAAATTTTTCATAATTTTAACCTTATAAATTTCAATATGTATATTCAGAATGTTTCAGTGGGGTATAAATTATAATTAAGGCACCAATCTAATGCTTAAACTCATGGTTCCTGGGTAAACATTTCAAAGCATCAGGAGGTTGCAATTTAAGAGACTCCTAAATTTCCCTACTTCCCAGACACACCAAATCTACAGCTACATGCAGGACAACTACCTCTGAAAGAAATCCAGAAACAGGCTGAGCAACTCCTACTCATTGGACAACTGAGGAAAAACCCTCATCATAACAAGTAAGAGAATCTCTCCATAAACCACAACACTAGCACACATCTACCAGCTTCTCCTTAAGGAGCAAAGGTTTGGATCCCTATCTAGCACCCCAATTTTTAAGACTTCCACCTAAGACAAGACCACAAAATATCTAGCTTTAAAGGTCAAAGGGTTTGCATCCACAACACTTACAAGTCTACAGTGAACTAAAAAGTAGTTCTTAATGGGCTCATGAAGATTCTCTATGGCTATCGTCTCAGGGTTCAGCAGAGACAACTCACTGAAACATGCAGTAGTTTCATGAAAGGTCTACTTGCATATCTTAATTGGAATCCTGCTCCACAGACTTAACCTTTTAACAGCCATCTAGGGACCCATTGCAATTCTCTCTCCAGAGAGGTTGGTGGGTGCCATTTTCATACTTCCCCTCTGACTCACCCCCAGCATAACTGAGAAAGGAGCTTGTGCACAAGTCTGGCACCCAGCTCTTATAGCTGCTGCCTAGAGAACACATCCCTTGATAACCTGGCTCTGGTGACCAGCAGAGCATGATTTCATGGGTTACACTAGGTGGTAGAAAATAGTTAACTGACTATTCCACAGGATTTAGTGCAGAGGGAGAAAATGCCCATCTTTCAGGGAATGAGGTGCTGCCTGATGAAAGCACTTTACCAACTACAGAGGAAATCAACTTGCATCCAGTAAGCCTCCATATCAAACCCATTTTACAGAATGGGTTAAACATCACTATGGGAAGGCAACCAGCAAAATCCAAACTGAAAAACTCCAAAAACAACCCCAATCTTAGAATAAAGGAAAAATAAGGATGTCAATTTTAGTGGCGAAAGCCATGTTAACTAAAATTAAAGTCTACATCACTAGTAGGTGATATTGACAGCATGTAGCCCCGATTTATTATGCACTGAGAAGGGCATATCACCTCTAATAAGGCAAATCTAAATTAAGAGACACTATAAAATAACTGACCAGTTCTTTAAAGGAACTGTTCTATATTAGAGGAAACTAAGGTGACAGACATTGTGACCAAATGCAATCTCAAACACTAGGTTAGGCATTAGAACAAAAAAGGAGTATTAGTTTCATCAGTT